CACACTTGGTAGACTCTTATCAACAGTAAGGAACTTTTAGAAAACAACCTGTCCAGGTAGGGTGGAACGCTATGATCGCTGACGCGCATGCCTGCACACACCCCCCGTCACACTTTCACCAGAGAAAGGGATTCGAACAATTGGATTTGATTCAATGCGCAACAGAGCTGAGCGACGATAAGTTTGGCCTTTCCTGCCAAAAACTGGACCATATGAGAGCGCTACACAATCACCTACGGTGGCGATTATGAAAAAACGTACCTAACAACATCTGCAAAGCCATGGCTGCAAACTACACCCTCCAACGTTTCTCATATTAACAAATAGATGCACAGCTTCTTCAAAATCCGGTCAACAATGCGGTGGTGTTTATACAGCGTCTCTAGGCGCCCCAAAAGAGTCAATCACTTTAATCGACCCATCATGATGGATGATTGTAAACACGAAAGGCTCTTCAGCAGGTCCATGTCGGACCCGAACGGAGAAGTGGTGAGCAGACGGTGAAGCGGGGGACGAGGGAGAGAGACAGAATTGCACCATATTAACTAGCTTCCAGTCAAACGTTGTGAACCCCTCTAATGAAGAAGCCGCCTTACGAGTTGACCAGCCGTCTACACAATCTTTACGACTTTTGCTACCAGCTCACAACAAAGTCACTACAGAGTTTCCCGAACTCTCCAAGTGAGGCTTGTAAACCAGAGACTCGTGAACGGCAAGCGAAAGAGCAAAATGCCCCCCCACGCCGTCGCTGAACTTCGTTGCCTCTTCATATTAATGATGTGTAATAAAGAATGGCAGAAGAAGAACAATCTGACCACGATTGCTTTTTGAGTACATTGAAGCGTATTACTTCAAAAAGCAGCATAAGTAGAATGGAGAAAGAGGGGATTCACTAAAGAATCCACGCCGATTTCCTGGAAATTTTTCAATTATCGAGTACAGTATCAGCAAGAACTGGCTGACATCGGTAAGAGAGAGTCCAATTTCGCAAAAGATAGATGAACGAGTTATGATCACCAGGAGATTGTATGGCTAATGACGCCAAAACGAACCACTCATAAGTTTGAGCTTGAAATTATCAATCATGACTGGATCTGAGACTCTAGTGGTATCCTCATTGTCAGTTCCGCTGAACACAACGCGCATTGGATCCGATCACGTCACGTGCTGTTTGGAAACGGCGCGCACTGCTATTGTACCACGATGCACCTCACGTCACGCGCGGCATTTCTTCCTCATAATATTGGAGTTTTTTTTCAGAGAAACAGAATATGCTGCCGCCCACTAGTACCTGTAAGAGTGCGTGAGGAGAAAGGCGGCTTTAGTAGGACTCAAAATGGACAAATTCAAAAGAATAGTCAACGATAGGTGTGAATGGTGGCTTATGAATACTTTCTTGTGGGAGGCAGAAAGCACTCTTATGGCGGAACACCTTGTTTTTCGAATGCTCTGCTTGAAACCGATATAACTTTCATCCATGTCGATTGAAACTTAGTTACCCTGTTAGGCTTAAGCTTCTTAGTTATCATCTCCTTGTTTTAAGTTTTGCTAATCGATTTTTTAATCAATGATGAACTTATTGACACGCAGTTATTCAGAACTTCTGCAGACCTGAGCAGGTGACATGCGATACTCCTTTATTCTATTACTGCCGATATTCAATTTCACACTGTTCAGTTATTTTCGTTAACAAACCTTTTTCTAATGTTTTGCTATTTTGTGGGAGCAAGCAGGTTTGGAAAGGAAAAGCCCAGAGGTTTTTTCGCAGGAGGAGGCACTTGGTCCAAGAGGAAAGGGCGTTCCCACTGCACGACGACAACGCCCGCTCCCCACGTTGCACGACCTATCCTGTAAAGGAAATTCGATCTAGCTAGGCTACAAAACTCTACCGCATTACCATATTCACCAGACCTCACCCTCCCCCCCCCTTTACCGTTTCTATAACAATATACCCCGACAGCTTCCTGTTGGAACGACTAGAAGAAGAAATAGATATGGCAGAAAAACTGCTACAAAACAGTGATTTGTTCCATCCCTTACCTCGTACAAACTACTGGTATTCTGCAAAACAAACCACTATTTAAAAGTCAATATGATGCTGGCAGATGTATCTACATAATCTTGTCGGGCTCTCGTAGCCTCAGTGCAAGCGAAATAAATAACCGAGATATGTACATGTGAAATTGGAGCGGGGAAAACCGCAGGTACTTCCTTCACGACCTTAAAGGCAAATGGCACGACAAATCTCCAAGACGAGTAGAATTGATACGCCTGGCAGGACAGAATTCCGTTACTTTGAGCAATCGCTGCATAATGCCTTTTCCAAGAAGGTGCCCTTATAAGGGTCCCATCAAGCCACAACATTCCGACCCACACGCCAGCCAACGCCCGCCCACAAATGGACGACCGTTCCTGACGCTCTAATCGATTCATTTGCTAAGCAAATTATGAAGCGAAGGGATTGTTATGAAGCGGCCGTGATGCTGCATGGATAGAACATATGCAGCCTTCGGTAGCACAGAATATTGGCACAGGAAACTCGTCCAAAGTTGATTTTTGATCACATTGAGAACGGATAGCTCTTTCTCGCAAGATTTTGACCGTTTCACTCCGTTATTTCGCCATTTCCCCACTATATAGCGCCCTACTAGCATTTTAGGCCGAGCACCAAATCATCGTGCCAACTTTCTTGACAACGTTCATTAGTGAACACTACTGAGACGCACTTCAAATAAAGGTCTATTGCGTTGCATGATATTATCACTGACGTATAAGTTCCTCATTGAAGAAGCGCAAAGTGGTCTTGAACTTTGGTTTCCAGTTACCTCCGGATCACAAAGTGCTAAGCCATAGATGTAGATCCACACGAGAAGGCTATGTTCCAAGATCCATAGAGATGATTATCTCGTCGGCGGAAACATGCCCCTTCTATCTCGTATTCATTTCATTTCGTTCACGGCCTATTTCTAACATATGATCGATACTTTCCTGAATTATCTGATGATTCCATAAACTGACTCCGAGATCGATGTAAGTTCTGGACATAAATTTGCGATTATTTTTCTGACTGGGGCTGATAGTTCTCAATTTTTTCCACGAAAGTCTCATCTCAGTTGACAAAAAAATTTGCAATATAAATGGCAAGCAATGATTATGACTTAGTTTTTAGTGAAGACTTTCCATATACCGCCTGCATTCTCATCAAAACTACTTTACTACAGCGGATGTATTGGTAAGTAAGGAAATCGCTTCTCCAAAACTACCCAGTTTGATTGAATTTGATCGAACAGAGACGAGAAGCAGAAACTTCAGTCATTATCCCTGTAAACGTGGGAGGTGCGTGAGTTGAAGCGTAGCTAGTCCGTTCTTTTCCACCAATCATTGCTGGCTTAGAGAGGCACCCAAGTGATAAAGGCCGCCCTGGCTAGGCTCTAATACGCGCCCCTCTCACGTATTCTCGTTTTCAGAGGTAGTGATTGTCCACCATTGATCTCACCCAAAATATTTATGGTTTCTCAGTACGGTCATTTAGGAGCAGTGCTCAAGTTACTGATAGCACGGATTATCTCAACACCCAGTTATACTTGGCTGCGCCGTCGAATCAGTAGAAGGCTCGTATTCTTTTCTGTTGTGGCTCTCGCCTGCTTCCTACATGTACTTCGGATCATCTCCAATGATGTAAATTACAGCTTGTTTTACAAAAATCTGCAGTTTTAGATAAGCCACCTTCTTTCGCTTCCAATTTTACTATTTCTTGTAGTTTTCCATCCCATGGTCCATAGAATCCGACCCTCTTCCACATAGCTTTCAATACGCAGTTAAACGCAGGGTGCGCGTTCGTTGAAGGCGGAGCAGCAGTTCCAAATTCCTTAGTGGATGTTGGTTGAGCCATACCCCATTGCCCGTTGCCGAGTGTGCTACAGGGTTTTAACACTAATAATGATTGAACCGATGCTCCGCCTCCTAGCCAGTGCGTTCACCGCTGCCTTATAAGAACTTTACAGAAGTTAGTTAATTTTTCAAATGGTGCTTATTGCAAGAAGGTACCTGAAACTGCCATTGTTACAGAAGCGCCCTTTCTTCTTTAAAATCCCCCAAGCCGCGTTGGACAAACGTGTTCTGTCACAGTACTGTTCGCCGCGAATACAGAGGCGTGTACGATGGGTGGTTCGGCGACGGCGTAAGCTCATTTTCCATCGATTGTGTCGCTTGTTTCAACAGCTGGTGGAGAACGGGGTGACATACCCAGCCCTCCGACACGCCCCAGCATTCGCACCGTATAAGACTGACTCCTTACCATAAATTATCACAGCAAAATTCAAAAATGAGCTTCCTTACTTAGACATTACTCATTTTTCAGGAATTCTTTGTTCTGACGGCGAGACGATGTATGCAAGATAAAATGCTCTGGTTGATGAAAGCGAGCGATGAGGACTTCTTTCATAGCGTAAGTGACGACTTTTTTGTGTCATTCTAAACACCGTAAAAACTGTGTATTTTCTCCCCTGTCGCTCGATTTGAGCGAGAGGAATAGACTCAAACGGTGCAAAGATGTGGTGTAGGTACGTCTCTCCTCCGAAAGAGAGGATCAGAACGACCCCCCCCCACTTAAGTGTGGGTCTCACATGTAGTACGGCTCACACTTCCCCAACACCTACCTACAGATGCTTTACACCAGTTTCTTCTCCCAAGTTTCCCATCTGAGCGGGGGGAATACATTGAAGCAGAAATCACTACGAAAAGTCAAAACACAGCAGGGAAAAATTTCTCCCAACGCGGCAAATTCTTCTGAAAGGCACATAGGCACCAGTGAAGGCAAGATTCAGGATTCGGTTGGAGGCGGTTAAAGTATTTCAGGTCGCACCAAATATTCGAAAGAATTATTAGAAACAATGAAAAATTTTTGCAAGAACCTTTGTTCTTTTGAATCTTTCGAGTTTTCAGCAATAAATATTTGGCGAGTCTTTTATGTATTTCACATTGAATTACAATCATTTAAGATGTGGAGCGCCATGCCAAATCTGGTCAATATATGCTCGTTCAGCTACTTGTGGCCAAGAATTGATGTGTTCGAAATGGGCGGGCATGAAGTCCTGTTCCTGAACGAGATCATCACGGTATGTTAATTTTCAAAAATAAACTGAACCTACCGTATTGCCTAAGGGCCTGTTCGTATAGATGGTTATCCCCCTACTGTCCGGATCGCCTTCGCTGGTTTCGGGCGTGGCGGTGTGGCGGTAAGGCTGCGTTTATACTTTGCGGCAGCATAGCATAACGCTTCCAGCGTTTCACTAGCATTTGCCAGCGGCGGGGCTAGAGTATAGAAGAGTAGGAGAGTATTTTGTACTCTCCTACTCTTCTATACTCTCTAGCCCCGCCGCTGCAAACGCTAGCGAAACGCTAGTGAAACGCTCGTGAAACGCTGGGAGCGCTAGATCGATATCTATCCTTTCCCCGACACTGCCGCTGGCGTACGCTGGATAAACGTAGCCTAAGTGGCACGCTCACCACGAACGCGGGGGTCAAATCCCGGATCGGCCATAGGCTATCAAGCCTTCTTACCTCTATTAGCGAACTGGTACCGGAATTGCCTGGGAGGATAACGACACTGACTTCTACGTCGGCTACCCTCGCAAGTCATTGTATAGGATACATTCCACTCAGCGTGCCATTACGACACTGAATGAAAGTGGAATGCGTGTCGCATCCTAGGAAGAATTGTTCAGCGGAGCGAGCTTCAACGCTATCCTTTTATCCTACAAAGAGACGCTCCCCATTCCTCTGTATCCTCACTGATTTCCAGGCATGCTTGAATTCTCCGTTGTGCGTGCTCCCACAATTGTAGCTTTTTGAGGTTGTACTACTATTTCTCTTCTTTTCAGGATCCTACCCACCACTGCGATATCCTGTTTCTGAGTGATGACGGACTGCTAGGCTTTCCGTTAGCGATGAGGGTGAGCTGTACAAGAAAAACAAGCACAGTCCACGTTGATCGGACGTCTTCCGTGCGTCAAGAGTTAGGTCTACCACTGTTGTCCCCTCTGATGCCACAAAGGGGAGGGATATATTAACGAGGAAGGCTTGTGTGATCAGCGAGGACTGGGCTCAAATGCAGAGGTCGCGTTGAAACTGTGGGCGGTGCCTGGAGTGCCTGCGCATGCTCCCCACCAAGGAATGGTTTCAGCTCTGTGCGGAACTCTGAATGGAGATCTAAGCTTGTCGAGAGAGTTCGAAATGCTCATTGCAGAATTTAACCCGAAACTGCAACAAAAGATCTCAAACGAGTTCTGAATGGTCAAATTTCGCAGAGGTGCAATGCAGTGGTGACATATAGGCCGACCAAGCCGAACTGCGCCGAAGTTGAAACTATTCCCTGGTCAGTGGCTGGACCGGAAACTCTTCATAGAGCGCGCATTCTCACCCACAGCGCGACTTCTTTCTTCGAATTCGAATTCAAATG